GCGATGGTGAAAAAAGGATTAACGATATTTTGTGTAACGGAGCAACTCTAGATCCGTTTAAAATTAATTACTACTGTTTTGGGGTTCGGTGACTGCTTAATTATTAGATTCTCAATTGTTACCACTAAAGCGTCCACATACATTGGCATTAAACGAATGTATATTCGTTTCTGTTTTTTAAAATAGATAATTAAACACTAATTTTAGTAAAAAAAAAGAGTATAGTGAAAAGAAAATCATTCTTCACCTTTACAGTATTTTGTTGTCTACGTTTAGTAGTACATTGTTGAGATTCAAATCAATAAATATTTCTACTCTTTTTATCTAGTAGTACTATCCAAAAGTTATATCCAATACCAATCGCTGACGTGGAGTTAAAAAGACAGCTCACGGTTACAATATTAGCGTGTGGATACACGCACCAGAAGCAAGGTAAAGCGTGGGTGCGACGTGGCGATCTGTGGTTAGATCTTCCGTCTTATACTTATTTCAACTTCTGTAGATTTGGTTTTCCTGATTTGTGTGATATCTTCATCTGACGCGGAAACCAGAAGTTGAGTAAACTCAAAACGCGTCCAAGTTCAGTGAATCTGATAATTCGTCTAGATTCAATGAATCTAAGGTTTCCCTTGTTCTTCTTAAACTTTTCAGTTGTTCATGCAATTAGTAGTTGAATATAGTATTAAATTGTTTTGGTGAAGATATAGGCTTATCCATTACACGTGTGATTGGTACTAGTCTTTTGTTCTGATTCTTACAAAAAAATCTCAAATTTTAAAAACTATTAACAACCCAAAAACAGTTGAAAGGAAACGTTTTTTATGGGCCTCTATTTAGAAACTAAGTATTGGGCCTTTCTTCAAAGCCCAATTGAGTCCGAAACTTGCAAAAATGCACGGAGAGTTTAGCCGGCGAAGTATTATTTCTCCGGGAAACATAACTCCACCGTATTTTCATCTTCCCCTGAGATCTCCGATTTTGCCCGGATCCTCCAGTTGCTTCCTTCAGGTCCGGATAGATTGATTCTTAAGTTTTCCTACCACTGCATTGTCTGGATTCTTAAGCTAGTGTTCTGAATCACTTGTCTGTTCCGAGGTTGTGTTCCTTCACATAAGCTTCTATGTTTGAGATTGAGACTGATAAGAATCAGATGAATTAAGGCTTGTGCCCTTTTAGTATAGCATGATCTTTCTTGATTGAGGACACTGAAAATTGATCAAGATAATCTTGTTACTGGTATCACTGGCTCTCTTTATCATTGTCTTCTTGGGTTTCATCGTTACCTTGATCAAAGCTTGGTTTGAGTTTATAAAATTTTGGAGCTTATATAGCTATTGAGATTCAGGGACTATTAAGAGTTTCCGTGGATGTTGTAGTTTACGTTGTTGGTTTCAGTAATAACCATAAAAGCTTTCATTCAGTCCTTCAAAATTATCTTCTAGAGAGTCCACATGAGTTCATTTATCAGTATTGGATATTGTTTGCTCTGTTGTAGGGGGGACTATGCGTCGCTTTCGATCAATGTCCAGAGCAGGCGCAATACTTGAACATGAGCTTCGCCTTAATTTAACTAACCCCGAAACACTGCTTTTAAGTGAGATATGTAGCCATGGAAGCTCTAACCTTAACGTAACACCTCATTTTATGTCGAATATACACTTATCTTTTGATCTTCTTTAACCTTTGTTTGATCAGATGAATGCATGAATTATTCCATGATTTTATCTTCCATGTTTGATGTTTTGTCAGCCAGCTGAAACTCTACAAGGGAGTCACATATTTCTGAGTGACTATTTAAGATTTCCTAAAGATCTATGTCGCTTTCAAAACTATAAAAAAGAAAAAAGAGTTTAGGATCACACAATTCTTCAGATTCTTCTACAAACCTTAAGAAGATATCGATCTTGAGCTGTTCACATTTTGGAAGACTTGACAACTGATGAACAACTCTTAAATCATAGGATTGAAAGATCTAAGGAATGATTGTTAGATATACACGTTTTGTGACAGACATGCGTCCAAGTTTTGTTTGGTCGTGCGTGCAGGTTTGTCTTTCTTTGACCATTTCTATTCCCTTAGATCGTGCATACACTAATGTCATTTTGAGTTATCAACATATTTTATATGAACAAAAAACGTTGACGGCTGATTATTTTATTCTTGTAACACCAGATAATCTCTATGAACGTGCATCCAAGTTTGAGCAAATCAGTGACTATTGTTTCATCTCTGCGCAAAGGTCAGCTCCTTTTGGTCTTCTCTACGTTTTCCTCAACGTGTAAACATGTCACAAATTCAGTAAAAAA